CCCCCCCCCGTTTTTTTTTTTTTTTTTTGTGTGTGTGTGTGTGTGTGTATGTATTTATTCATTTTTAGCTCCCACAAATAAGTGAGAACATGTGATGTTTCTCTTTCTGTGCCTGACTTGTTTCACTTAATATAATTATCTCTAGGTCCATCTATGTTGTGCAAATGGCAGTATTTCATTCTTTTTTATAGCAGAGTAGCATTCCATTGTGTAGATGTACCACATTTTCCATATCCACTCATCCGATGATGGACATTTGTGCTGGTTCCAACTCTTGGCTATTGTAAAGAGTGTTGCAATGAATGCTGGGGAACAGGTATACCGTCAACTTGATGATTTCAATTCCTCTGGGTATATTCCCAGCAGTGGGATAGCTGGGTCATATGGTAGGTCTATCTGCAATTGTTTGAAGAACCTCCATACCATTTTCCATAGAGGCTGCACCATTTTTGCAGTCCCACCAACAGCGTATGAGAGCTCCTTTTTCTCCGCAACCACACCAGCATTTATCGTTCACAGTCTTTTGGATATTAGCCATCCTAACTGGGGTGAGATGGTATCTCACTGTTGCTTTGATTTGCATTTCCTGACTGTTGAGTGATGTTGAGCATTTTTTCATGTCTGTTGGCCATTAGATACATTCCCATTTGTTTATTTTTCCTTTGGTTGCCCATGCTTTTGGGGTCATATTTATGAAGTCTGTGTCCAGTCCTACTTCCTGAAGTGTTTCTCCTATGTTTTCTTTAAGAAGTTTTATTGTTTCAGGGTGTATATTTAATTCTTTAATCCATGTTGAGTTGACTTTAGTATATATTGAAAGGTATGGGTCTAATTTCATTCTCCTGCATATCGATATCCAGTTATCCCATTTTTAGTTGAGTATTGGAGGTTGTGTTTTAAAGAGTTACTACTTACTGTAGATATGCAAAAAAAGGAGTGAAGTGTAGTTATCAAACTTTCTTTTAACAAACATCAAGTCTTTACAGATATTTTCTCTGTGCTAATCTCGATGAGAGTCAGTAGGGATATAAACACAAACGTAACACAATTCTCCCTCCTGAGTGACCTAACATTTTAAATGTAAGAGTACTAGAGCCAAAATTTTTATAGAATGGGGGAAAGAACAAAAATTATTATTAGAGATTAAATATAAAATTAAGAAATGGATACATTTTTAAAGAATTACTCCATAAGAATTGGTAGACTTGTTTCACTTAAATAATATTAAGTGAAATAAGTCAGGCAGAGAAAAAGAAATACCACATGTTCTCACTTATTGGTGGGAGCTAAAAATAAAAATAAAAATAAATAAATAAATAAATAAA